GTAGACCTATACACAATAACAATGGTTCTCAAACTGTGTTATACAGAACTTTAGGGCTTCGCGGAAGAAGTCTAGAGGCTCCGTGGGCATATATTAATTATCTAAATTTAAATACTATTAAATTTCTTAGTTATCGAGGAAAAACACTGGTAACCTGAATTGCGCAACGAGTTATACGTTTTAGTGACACCAATTTTATTTACAACTAAGACTTCTGATAAAATTTGGTTATTATGACTTCATAACTTGGCTGGTATTTTCACAAAATTAAATTAAGTAAATTTATCAATACAACTTAAAATGACCAGTTTTCATAGCAAATGAAAAAATCCGATCTTTAAAAAAATGAAATTTTGAACTATGTATTTTTCTCAATATGAAATATTAATAACTATTGTTGTCTAAAATTCCTAATTTTCGGGGTTTCGTAATTTTTTTTAAAAACATAAGGGCTCCGCGGACAAAAAAGTTTGAGAACCACTGCACAATAACATAATGCGATAAGCCAATTTCTTATGTGTGGTGCCTGAGAACCTACTGCCAACAACTAATTAGGGAATAAAAATAAGGTTTATAGCTGTAGGATGTATTTAATTAAATTTTTTTTTGTCTTATAATAACTTATTAGTTATTACAGATCAGATTACGATGGTTCTTAATTATTTTATTATTTACAGTAAAAAAAACCGCTAAAAATTAATTTATTTAGATAAACTCCTTTGGATCCTTTAGATATTATCTAAAAAAATACAACAAAAAATTATATTTTTAACTATATAGATGGGATAAAAGGTAATTCATTTTTTTATCTAAAAAAATTTATCTAGATAATGCCCAACACTGGTTGTCATAATTTTTTTTTTCTTATTAAAATTTTTCAGTTTTCATGATACTAAACTATACTACAATGATTGTGCGGTTGTCATTGAAGTATAGACTAAATAATGTTAAATTAAATTACATGAAGAAGTTAAAATGCTTATATAATTTAAATATTAAATTCTGTTTAAAAAAAATATGATTCCTTTGAATAACGGTTGGATCAATCGTCAGATCCTATGCGAAATAAATCAAACGGAAGAACTTAATTCAAATTACTTTAAAACGATTACATAAATCAATCACCCATCATGAAGTTTAAAAATATATATATATATATATATATATATATATATATATATATATATAATATTTACCTGTATATATATAATTTATTTTTTCAACTATATAATCATTCAGACAAACGTTATTATACTCGTATTTAATTCTGATAAATTTTTGCGAACAATAGACGAGCGAAGAGTGAAGGACACATTTTAGAAAATCCAGGAATGTGAGAACTTATAAAGAGGTAATCATAAAACATGATGGACACATTCGATTTACTACGACAATTCAACGTCTATTTATCCGTTTTTAGTACGACACGTGTGTATCGGTGCAGTGTATAAATCGGATCTGGATAATGGAAGTCACGTACACTGAATGCATTTACTGTGTTGTACATTTAAGTGATTTCACCATCTCGAGAATAAGCACAATATCAAATTACACTTTAATCGTCCCTTTTCCGGTATTGTGTTTACTTTTTTATTGTTGTCATATTATTGTACTTGCGTAGCTGTATACCATTGTACATGCTATATACAATTCAGTATGTCAATCGACGTTAAAGTCAAGTATTTAATTTATTCGACAAAAATCAATATTTTCAACATTTAAATCATAATATTATATAAATATTGGAAAAATAAAAATCATTACTATTTATAAACTGAACTCGTTCTTGGGAACAGGCTTAGTTATTAGTCATTATTCCCTTAGTGAATTTTGCTAAACATTTATAACAAAATATTTATTTTATGAATTGTTTATTGAAACATTCGTTATGTAGTCACTGATTTTTCAGTAAACATACATCAATAAATTTGACGCACTTGTGGAAACATTTTCATTCATTCATGCTTGCATAAAACATCATATTGATTATATTTTAATAATGAAATATAAATATGACGTAATAATATTATGTATGTTAATCTAAGCCTTGCAGCTATACATTTGGTTTCTTCACACATAAATTCATCTTCATCGATTTTTCGAATAATTTTAAATATACAATAATATTTATTCATATAATTTAAATAAGAAATATATTCCACTCCAAAAATACTCAGGTAACAATCTAATGACGTTATACATTTTTATATCCTTTCTTGATCTATTAAAAATATATAATCTCTTTTGATACTCGATAGCCATTCAGTATGATCAAAAATTTGGAACCGTTTTTTAATTGTGGTTGGTTATGATAATTTAATTGAAATTAGCTTATAAATTCTTATGCGATCAAAACAAAAGATAGTATACTATCCATCCATGATCTGAGATGTTAAAAAAAAATTCATCAACATGCTATATTTAATTATTAGGTAGTAAATATTATAAATCAAAACATCTGACTAAAATTTTTTTAAACATGAGCTAAAATTAATTTCACATTAAAAATATGACATGCACGAATTGAATTCATATCATATACGATATGCATAGTAATAATATTTTTTTTTATATTTATTATGCAGTAACGCAAGGTACGATTCGTATTAATGGAAATATATAAATGGAAATCCCGAACAGAAGGCATTGACTAATGTACACATTAAAGTGGTTTTACTGATCACCAACCCTAGAGTAACTAACCCTAGAAGCACGGTACCAAATTAACATGCATATTTAATATAATATGATTCAATCATCCCTTTTCCGATGTTATGACTACCGTTCATTTGTATACGCTTTTCATATATATTATTATAATGTTAAAATAATTTTGAATTGATATTGTGGTATATAGTTTTAACTGCTACGAATAATCTATGGTGGATATGTAAGAAAAAAAAAATTTGAAGATTTCTTACGGAAAAGCTTTATATAATATAGGAAATGAAAACAGAAAAGAATATCTTTAACAATATTATAATTAGCGCTTTAAACGTATCGTGTTTATAAATTTGATATAATTAGAATATATAATTAAAGCATTAATTAGGAAATAAAGAAGAGGTTAATAGGCAATTTAATACAAGGACTAGAAAAAGTATTAACTATCGTTTTAAGGTTTTTCAGGCGTAGTTACAGTTGATGTGTTGGCGATAATATTGGCGTATGATATATTATGTTTATTATTATCATTAAAAGTCATAACTCGTCTAAGACGGTGTAGTGGTATTGGTTGTAGAATGTTTATTTAATTTGATTTCCTTAAGTTTTTTGTGATTTTTTATGATATTTGAGTACACTGAACAGTTCTTGTAGGAAGCTGTATACGGTCCTGAGCATAGAGCGCACTTCGCGGAATCCGATGGTGCTTTCACGTATTTATAATAGAAATGGTTATCATAACATTTGATATAATAGCTAGATGATGGAAAATCAATATAATAATTTACTGTTTTACAAGTTATGTATTATTTTTTTTCATAATTCATTTACATCATTTTAAATGGATTATCTGACAAACAAAAATATATAAATAACTTTGACGCATCAACCAAGCCACATTCATGGAACGTATCATAGCATGCATCAATATTTCAAATAATAATGGAATGCGAAATAATATATGGAATAATTCTCACGAAAGCCAATCTAAGGTAATTTTGTTCGTGTACTCGTATTATGCGTGCTCGCGGTGAAGTCATCTCAATTATGTACCTTCGTATTGGTATGTGGAATGCGGATGGTATTAACCATACAAGATGTAGACAATTATTCTTTACATTCAATTGTATCTATCTAATAATATATTTATTGTGTTTAGGTGTATACAACTGAGTATACGTTTGAGACCTAAGGCTATAACGTGTACAAAGTACATATGCAATTAATCATGATTTCACGATATCTATACATTAATTTAATTAATATGAAATGAGCAACTAATACATTTTAACTAATATGTTACATACGGTATATGCAAATAATAATATTAATAATGATAATAATTATAATTACTATTCATTTCCGAGAACAAAAGCGAAAAAAATTTCTCGTTTTTCGACTTTAGCAATAACGGGAGAAAAATTTAAAATCAAACAATATGCGTTCCGATCAGAGATGGACTTATGCTCTGAAGGTTCTGAAGGTTTGGATGGGTATGAATTTTAAAAACCAGCAAATATGGGATTCGTGTTACATTTGTTATTTTAAATAAATATTGTTTTGTTGGTTATTGGCTTTCGGTAACGATTAAGGCGTGGCATCGAAAATTTTTTTAAAAACAACAAATATAGCTTGAGGTCAAATTTCTGGACGGCCTAGTCGGTTATGGTTATGGTATGGGTATGGCCACCTAGTTCCGTTCAAGATCGTGCGTTGTTTCGTTTCCAAGAGAGTTATCATTTTTGCCTATAAGCTTTTGAAAAACGAACAAATTAAAAAAAGAAGAAAGAACTTCGCGTAAATTTCGGTAAATTATTAACAGCGATTTTTATTTTACACTGTATTATAGTTATGCAACACGTGCACTTCATACAGGTATAATATAACAATATTATTATTATCGTGCCGTGCGCATGCACATTGTCCGTGGGAAACCGAAAACGTCGGGAAAAACATACCGCGTGCACGTGTACGTGTGTGTGTATGTTAGATTCTGAGGTGTTTCCCCCGACCGATTCCTTTCCCCTACTGACGGTGATCGAGAACGTCACAGCGGCTCGTCAACGCGCCCACCGAGCCGCGACAGTGCCGAAGTGTCGCCGACCTACAGGACCGCGTTCGCAGAGCTCACGCGCGCCGTCAATGATTACACACGAGATTTTGCTCAATTTTTTTCACGCCCGTCGTCCGTTTTCGACGCTCAATAACGTATCATTCGGTCGTGTGTGTTACGTGTTTTTTTTTTTTTTTTGCCGATGGGCGTTTAACCGCCTCATGGATATAGCAATAGTCGTAACCGTCGAGTCTAAACGTAATGTCTTATTTGTGTTTTACAGCGGACTCCCACTCAAATGACATGATGAAACGCGGTTTGATCAGAACGGATCGATTGTGGTGCTTGTTCCTGAGTGAGTACCAAAAATACTATTATTATTATTATTATTTATTTATTGCTTATACTTAAGTTCTGTTTTGATTCGTCGAAAACTCGCATCCATCTGCGGTGAAAACAATACGATATTAACGTTGTACTTTCTCACAAGACCAAAACACGGTCCGTGCGTTCGGTCATATCTTTGAAAATTCCGTTGGTTTACATAATTTTCACATCGTTATAAACAAATTATAACATAACGTTCAAACGCTTTGCTATCGTTATATAATGAATTCTAGTTACGAAAATGTTATGAACTTTATCACGCGCCGTAGCTTTTATTTTATTAGTTTTAAGTTAGAACTTCTAACTGAACCGACGTAAAGGATTCTAAATCATACGGATCTGATAAAAGTAGTACGGTAATTGACTCAAATGGTACGATCGCGTTATGACTATGTGTCGAGTTGATTTCGAAAATGAGGCGGTTCGTTCGTTTCGGTTTTCAGACGATACGTGTTTTGTCGAAAGGTCGGAATCGTTGTGCATTGTTATTACCCCGCTATACGGCGGACGTAATATCGAACGACTCACGATTACTACATAGGCCGACGACAGGCGTTGTTTTTGCATGTTTATATGAACATTACTAACCGTGCCCAGCGGGATAACCGTGATAGGTTAGTGATAACTAACCTGTGCGGTGTACAACTGTTGAAAAATGGATGCATGCCGGTGCGCGCGACATTAGAGACCCCATCGCCCGTGGGCCCCACGCACTGATTATAGTCCGTGTCGTACGTGTCACGATAAATAAGGGATTAATTAATTTTAGAGCCACCCGAATAAATTTTAATTGCGACACCGTTTTCGCCACAGATCAATAACCCACGTGGACGAGAAACAAATCTTGATTTCGATAAATTTAACCATTGCACTGTTATCAATCCCTATACTGCTGCAATGTTTCGATCAAAACACTTGAACGCTCTTGTGCCCACGGAAGTATACAAGTTTTTTAATTGAAATCAGAACATTGTTCGACCGTACATGGCGATCACATTTTGCTTTGTCAGGTTAAATATTTACGGCCGATGATAAATCCGTGATGACGTTTACTGTAGGCAGTTGAAAACTTTCCCAACCGAGAATATCATGCACATTTTTTTTCCTCAACACTATACTATTGTGTGTATAAGCGCCTACGTTATAGTTAACTTTTAATATTTTAATTTTTTAATTTTTCTTTTTTTAAACATGGAAATGCATTTTATGTAAACAAAATAAAAGAATTTTAAAAACTTTCACAGAAAAGAAACGTATTTGCGAACGCATACTAAAAAACGTCTTAAACTTGAACTGTCTTCAAAGTTTTTTATACAATAAAGTTAAATATTTTTCAAACAGCTCTCAAAACCAATATTAAATGCTAGAAACATTCAAGTTTCATAATTATTTAAAATATTCAAACTAATGGATTTATTTTCAAAACCCCGAAATAATTAACTGTAGTGATGTACTTATCGATTGGGGGCCTTTACAGCTCTTTGATGATATATTCAATACACAATAGCTGTGTCCGAGTACCAATAATTCAACCGTCAATCAAATATAATCAGTAATTGCTGAACCTACGTATATATACAACAGTAAACTAGTATTAGGTAGTAATAGGTAGTTCAAACGAATCTATTGCAATAAAATTGCATTATATTTATATTATACGTATAGGTAAATCATACTTTATAATTTGATACAACGTCGTTTGGTATTATTAATATATTATGTATGGTTACACAAAAAATAATTGTTATTCAAGTAGTTTGAGTTATAATCGAGCAAAGATCGAATCCTTCGTTTATACATGATTTCATAATTTATTCATTAATAATTTGACTATCAACCGATTTCGTGCCTGGCCACGCGTTCACGTAAAGTGCTTCATTGCCATCATCGTATTTTCATTACTATAGTTAAACAGGTTAAACATCATTCAATTATCTAATATAATTAATAATCGATTTAATGATAGATCTCTTGCTTCCATATCATCGTTAAAATGTTTAATTTTTCTTCCTTTGCCGTTGCGACGATAGTCTGCACTGTCGCAACTGCACACGGTGTAGGACACAAAATATCAACCTTTCTAAAATTATATCCATATTCATCGAATTTCGTTAAGAAATATCTGCCGGCATCCTAGCAGATATCCCCTCGAAACACTTGCATCGCACAATACATACAAAACATTGTGTTTGGCGGTTATTTTAAATGACACGAGCGCACATATTATAATGATCGTGTTCCTTCGAATTCGTACAGTAATAAAATAAAACAATGCAACCGTCGAAACAGTTTTGTCTTTTTCGATTATAGAGTTGTGCAGCGAAACCGAACGATGTATACAATATGATGGTGCGACAAATGCGACCGAGGCCTCTCCTCGAAATTTTTTTTTATCATTATTTTAATATTACGATGTTTCGATGTACACTACGATCTCGATGTATGGTAATAATTCGACGAATGATTGTTCAGCGTCTGGTACACAGTACGACGGCTACAGTAGTTGGACGAATTCTAATTTGTGACAAATATGTATATACAAGTAATAGCGATAAATAGAAAATAATAATGAAAACAAAAATAATATGCAAATATACGCGAGAAAATAATAAACAGTAAATGAGTAACGGAAGGCTGACACGAACAGGACACGTCGGAAATTCATCCAATTATCGGACACAATGGGGGAAATTTTTAATTCCATCTGTAAAAAGTTGTATAGCGGACGCCGCGCCACCGAGCCGACATTAACGTCAAGTCTGTGTCCGTCTGGTCTGCCCGGAGAAAAGCTTTCGAAAACAATAAAAAAAAAAAAAAATAAAAACCCAACGGAACACACCTCTTGAACACCGTCGACATTGACCGTTGAAAATTACGTTTCATTCTGGTTGTTCGGTCGTTATTCTCTTCTAGTCGCGTGAGTCCGCTTGACGGTCTGTCTTAATAGTATTTTTATTCAAACAATAACACACGTAATCGATACAATACAGCACAGTCATAACTTTGAAATAATTAGGAAAGTGTTTTGACGTTCTCATTAAGGCTAGTCGATGAGTTGATACTTAACACATAAATATTGTGACAAGACCCGACCAAGATTTAATCGACTGGAGGCCCTAGAAGTTTTCTCCACGATATGGACAAAATTATGTAATCAATTATTTGGCTATACGTATCCAATAAATATATAATATATAATACATTTTTAATAATTATTATTTATGACTAGAATTTTTTTTTCAATCAATTTTTGAATTCTTCAATTTAACTGAAATCATTATTAAAAATATCGCATTTGTTCGCAAGCCTTAGGCACGGTACCTATGATGCCTATGCGGTAATACGACCTTGATCAAGATCGATTAATAACCTCAACTTTTATAATATCGTTATCTGCAGGAATTATAACTACCACGTATAATACATATTGTAATAAAATCGTAATTCTATTTCACGTTTCTTTCATTTTCGATTTATAGTTTTGTCCAAATGTGAGCTAAGATTTAAGTACCTATTAGTAAGCTATCTATTACGAATGTTAGTAATCATTATTGCTTCGAGTAATGTAAATTACTCGCGTGCGCCTTTTTAGCCATAAGTCAGTGACTAAAAATAATTTAATACTTAAAATAATGGTTGATTTTTCCAGTGACTGTTCGAATGACGTGTGTTTTGTCTACAATCGCCTGCACAGTCATACTTTATCTCTTATTATTTTCTTTTTAACGGGAGAATGAGAATAAAAAACATTCCCCTTATTACAATAACTTTCACGCAGACGGTAATTAATTAGTCATTTATACGTTTTCAATTTAGTCGTGTTTATTATTGTGATCAAATTATTCAAATTATAATTCTAATTTCTTTGTTCCTTATTGTTTTCTAAAATCAAATGGAAAAAAAAAGGACCAAGTCAAATACTCTTGTCATAATTCGCACAATTATATGGCTACATTATGTAACCGCAACTGCAGTATTTGTATATACACTAAAAAAAAAAAAAAAAAGAAAAAATGTTTAAAACAAATACATTTTTATTTTAGTCTTCGATTATTATTAGTTAAGAAAATAAATTAAAAGTCTAAAGCGAAAAATGTTCGAACGATATAAAAATTAAAAAAAATGATTGCATTAAAAGTGAAAAAAAAAATGGCAAAAATAAAACGTTTTAAAATAATTAAATACATTGAATTCTTATTATTGGTGAAATCAAATGTAAAACATTAGTGATTACAAGTTACGTGGACAGTTGAACGATTGTTTTGAAAAGTATTCAAAAGAACATCAGACGAAATACAATGTCACTGTCGCTGAACAGTCATATTCGGAGTTTGAAAATATTATTATTGCGATACGAAAAAGAAAGTTTACCCAAATATCGATACACCACATGGTATATTCGGCGGTGATTTACAACAAAATAATATGTAATAATTGAATCGAACAGCACGCGATCGACGATCGATCATAGTGGTACAATCGTAGTTGTATGTGGTATATTACATTAGTAAGTGCGTGTAGGCTAAGTGTTTACGTCGTCCACGACGACCTTGACACGGTTGATTTGCACACGTGGGTCCTGCCGGTCGCGCGCATCCTTTCGATTTATCGTCTCCGACTCACGTTGCAACGTTAATCGGGCGACATGCACCGTTGCTCGGATTTACTCGCCACAGGTTATGTGCGTATGTGCAGACAATTGCAGCAATTATCATAAAAATGCATTGCGGAATCAGTCAGTCGTGTGTAAAAATGCGACTCGTGTTCACCGACCATGGTGTAGCAGCCGTCGGGTGTTATCTAGTTTTAACCATCTTCTTTTCACGCCCCAAGGTCGTCTCGCCCAGACACTCTCATGCACGCTCCAGACAATAATAATAAAGACCACATAAAAAAATGTCATATCTAACAAGTTATGTTAACATTTACTTGTCAATTTTTCACATAATTGTTATCAAAGTTTGTTGA